AGGTGCAGTGGCTCACGCCTATAATCCCAGCACTTTGAGAGGCTGAGGTGGATGGATCACCTGAGGCCAAGAGTTCAAGACCAGCCTAGTCAACATGCTGAAACTCTGTCTCTACTAAAAATACAAAAATTAGCTGGGCATGGTGGTGGGCACCTCTAGTTACAGCTTCTCAGGAGGCTGAGGCAGAAGAATCATTTGAACCGTGAAGGTGGAGGTTGCAGTGAGCCAAGATCGTACTCCAGCCTGTGCGACAGAGTGAGACTCTGTCTCAAAAAAAGAGAGAGAGCCGGGCCCAGTGGCTCACACCTATAATCCCAGCACTTTGGGACGCCGAGGCGGGTGGATCACAAGGTCAAGAGATCGAGACCATCTTGGTCAATATGGTGAAACCCCGTTTCTACTAAAAATACAAAAAAATTAGCTGGGCATGGTGGCACACGCCTGTAGTCCCACCTACTTGGGAGGCTGAGGCAGGAGAATTGCTTGAACCCAGGAGGCAGAGGTTGCGATGAGCCAAGATCACGCCATTGCACTCTAGCCTGGGTAACAAGAGCGAAACTCCATCTCAAAAAAAAAAGAGAGAGAGAGAGGCATTTATGAGCTCTCTCTCAAAAAGGAAACTGAGTGCCGGGCGTGGTGGCTGACGCCTGTAATCCAAGCACTTTGGAGGCCAAGGCGGGTGGATCACTTGAGGTTGGGAGTTCAAGACCAGCCTGACCAACATGGTAAAACCTCGTCTTAAATAAAAAAATAAAATAAAGGAAACTGAGACTCAGAAAGGGCCTAGGACTTGCTGCTACCCCCAGGAGTGGCCTGGAGTCTGCCTGGATTCTGGGCCTGGGCAGGGCAAGAATTGAGTGACCTTGTCTCCCCATAGAACTGGCAGGAGTGAAGCCTCAGCCCCAGGATAGGGGCAGCAAGTACACTGGGACAGAAGAAGTGGAAGGCCCTGGGTACTAGAGAGGCAGAAGGCCACTTCTGAGTGCTTTCCTGGAGACAGCAGAAAGCCATTTAATCTCTGTGCACAGCGGTTTCTTTGTCTAAAAACCAGGGATAACAGGGCCAGGCGTGGTGGCTCACACCTGTAATCCCAGGACTTTGGGAGGCCGTGGTGGGAGCATCACTTGACGTCAGGAGTTCGAGACCAGCCTGGCCAACATGGTGAAATCCTGTCTCTATGAAAAATATAAAAATTAGCCAGGCATTGTGGCAGGTGCCTATTAATCCCCACTACTTGGGAGGCTGAGGCAGGAGAATCACTTGAACCCGGGAGGCGGAGGTTGCAGTGAACCGAGATCACGCCATTGCACTCCAGCCTGAGCAAGAGAGACTCTGGCTCAAACAAACAAACAGGGATCACAGGACCAGGACCTAAGTCAGGGGAGAAGGAAGGCTAGCATGGCCCCGCATGCCTTTGAAGACGGGAGAGAGGGACTGTCAGCGTTGTGGCGGGAACCTAGGGGCAGCACCTTCCCTCCAAGCTGGGAGATGGGGGCCAGGATCCCGTCAGTGTTCAGATGGATGAGGTGGGGCAGGGGGCAAGCTCCAGGCTCTAAGCAAGTTTGTGCGCACTCTACTGCTCGGCGCCCTGGCTCCCTCTCTGATATGGGCATCAAAACCTACAGAAAGGGAAACAGAAACAGAGGCCTGGAGTAAGGAGGGGAAGTCTCCAGAATAATAATTATAATAATACAGTATGTCCAGACTAATTCAAGTTCCTGGCCCGTGGTTTTTTTTGTGTTTTTTTTTTTTTGAGACAGTTTCGCTCTTGTTACCCACACTAGAGTGCAATGGCGCAATCTCGGCTCACCGCAACCTCTGCCTCCTGGGTTCAGGCAATTCTCCTGCCTCAGCCTCCCGAGTAGCTGGGATTACAGGCATGTGCCACCGTGCCCAGCTAATTTTTTGTATTTTTAGTAGAGACGGGGTTTCACCATGTTGACCAGGATGGTCTCAAACTCCTGACCTTGTGATCCGCCCACCTCGGCCTCCCAAAGTGCTGGGATTACAGGCGTGAGCCACCACGCCCTGCTGTTATTTCTTTTTCTGTTTTGAGATGGAGTTTCGCTGTGTTGCCCAGGCAGGAGCACAATGGCGTGATCTCCGCCCACTACAACTTCCGCCTTCTGGGTTCAAGCGATTCTCCTGCCTCAGCCTCCCGAGTAGCTGGGATTACAGGCGTGCACCACCATGCCCGGCTAATTTTCTGTATTTTCATCATGTTGCCCAGGCTGGTCTCGAACTCCTGATCAGCAGAGGTGATCGGCCCACCTCGGCCTCCCAAAGTGCTGGGATTACAGGTGTGAGCCACCGCACCCAGCCAAATTTTTGTTGTTGTTGTTATATGGAAGAGGGCTTTCTATGTCGCCCAGGCTGGCCTCCAATGCGTAACCTCACCCCCTTATTTGCCAGGACAACAGGCCTGAGACACTAAGTCTCCCTTTTTTTTTTTTTTGAGACAGATCATGTCACCCAGGCTGGAATGCTGCAGTGGCCCAATCTTGGCTCACTGTAACCTCATGCCTCAGCCTCCTCAGTAGCTGGGATTACATGTGCCCACCACCACACCCGGCTAATTTTTGGTATTTTTAGTAGAGACAGGGTTTCACCATGTTGGCCAGGCTGGTCTTGAACTCCTGAACCCAGGCAATAAGCCCACCTCGGCCTCTGAAAGTGCTGGGATTACAGGTATGAGCCACTGTACCTGGCCAACCAGTGCTTCTTTTTTTTTTTTTTTTTTTTTTTTTTTTTTTTTGGAGACAGAGTTTTGCTCTTGTTGCCCAGGCTGGAGCGCTCAGCTCACCACAAACTCCACCTCCCAGGTTCAAGCAATTCTTCTGCCTCAGCCTCCAGAGTAGCTGGGATTACAGGCATGTGCCACCATGCCCAGCTTATTTTGTATTCTAAGTAGACGGGGTTTCTCCACGTTGGTCAGGCTGGTCTCGAACTCCTGACCTCAGGTGATCCACCAGCCTCAGCTTCCCAAAGGGCTGGGATTACAAGTGTGAGCCACCTCGCCCCGCCAACCAGTGCTTCTTAAAGAAAGACAGATATAGTGGGAGACGTGACTGTAACCTTCCTCCTGACCCCTCTGCGACTTCAGAGTTCTGATCTGGGCCAGCCCCACTGTTAGGAGCTGGGGGAAAATGGCCAAACCCCAGCAATTCTCCTTCCCCTTCTCTCTTCAATCCTAGGCAGACAATAACAACTAATAATTATGATGACCTAGGCTCTGGGCTAAAGCCTTCACCTGCATTAGGTCACTGAATTCTCAGGCCAACCCAGTACAGTCATGAGTCACTTAACAACGGAGCCACATTCAGAAATGCCTTGTTTGGCAATTTCATCGTTGTGGGAACACCTCGGAGTGCACTTAGGTCCTAAGCCGTCCGGTTTAGCCTCCCCCTCCTAGGTTACAAACCTCTACAGCACATGACTGCACCACATATTAGAGGTGGCTGCAACATGATGGTAAGTAGCAGCGTTTCTAAACACAGAAGACAGCCGCGCGGTGGCTCACACCTGTCAGCCCACCACTTTGGGAGGCCAAGGCAGGTGGATTACTTGAGGTTAGGGGTTCCAGACCAGCCTGGCCAACATGGTGAAACCCTGTCTTTACTAAAAGTACAAAAATTAGGTGGTGTCGTGGCACATGTCTGTAGTCTGAGCTACTCGGGAGGCTGAGGCAGGAGAATCGCTTGAACCCAGGAGGCAGAGGTTGCAGTGAGCCGAGATTGGGCCACTGCACTCCAGCCTGGGTGACAGAGGGAGACTCCATCTCAAAAAAATTACAAATAAACATAGAAGACGTACAGTAAGAACACAGTGGTAGGGCGTAGTGGCTCATGCCTGTAATCCCAGGACTTTGGGAGGCTGAGGCAGGTGGATCACCTCAGGTCAGAAGTTCGAGACCAATTTGACCAACATGGAGAAAACCCATCTCTACTAAAAACACAAAATTAGCCAGGCATGGTGGCTCATGCCTGTAATCCCAGCTACTCAGGAGGCTGAGGCAGGAGAATCATTTGAACCCTTGAGGCAGAGGTTGCGGTGAGCTGAGATCCTGCTTATGCATTCCAGACTGGGTATGCAAAAGAGCAAAACTCCATCTCAAATTTAAAAAATATAAATCAACAAAACCACAGTAATATAATTTTTTGTTTTGTTTTTTGAAACAGGGTGGGCCAGGTGTGGTGGCTCATGCCTGTAATCCAAGCACTTTGGAGGCCAAGGCGGGCGGATCACCTGAGGTCGGGAGATCAAGACCAGCCTGATCAACATGGTGAAACCCCCTCTTAAGAAAAAAAAAAAGGAAAAGAAACAGGGTCTTGTTCTGTTATGCAGACTGGAGTGCAGTGGCACAATCAGGCTCACTGCAGCCTCCTGGGCTCAAATGATCCTCCCACCTCAGCCTTCTGAGTAGCTGGAACTACAGATGCACGCCACCATCCCCAGCTAATTTGTTTTGAATTTTAGTAGAAATGGGGTCTCACTGTGTTGCCCAGGCTGGTCACAAATTCCTTGCTTCAAGTAATCCTCCCACCTTAACCTCCCAAAGCCCACACACCTTGCAACCACACAGATTGTCAGATTCCTTTTTTTTTTTTTTTTTTTTTTTTGAGATGGAGTTTCGCTCTTGTTACCCAGACTGGAGTGCAATGGCACGATCTCGGCTCACTGCAACCTCCGCCTCCTGGGTTCAAGCAATTCTCCTGCCTCAGCCTCCCGAGTAGCTGGGACTACAGGCACGCACCACCATGCCCAGCTAATATTTGTATTTTTAGTAGGGACGGGGTTTCACCTTGTTGACCAGGATGGTCTCGATCTCTTGACCTCGTGATCCACCCGCCTCGGCCTCCCAAAGTGCTGGGATTATAGGCGTGAGCCACCACGCCCAGCCATCCAGCTAATTTTTAAACATTTTTTGGTAGAGGTGAGGTCTCACCATGTTGCCCAGAATGGTCTCAAACTCCCGGCCTCAAGGGATCCATCCTTCCTGCCTTGGCCTCCCAAAGTGCCGATTACAGGCATGAGCCATGCACCCAGCCCCTTTTTATTTTTTTGAGACAGGGCCTTGCTCTGTTGCCTAGGCTGGAGTGCGGCGGTGAGAACATAGCTCACTACAGCCTCGAACTCCTGGACTCAAGCACCAGACTGCTTTACATCACATTCCACACACAGCCTTGTGGTTCCAACCCTGCCTCTGCCACTTCCCAGCTGTTTGCCCCAGCCCAACCTGTCTGGCGCTGTCCTGCTTAACAAAAGGACTGGCCTGGCCGCCGGCCACACCCGCCAGCGCTGAAGCACCAGGGCCTCCGAGTGCCCTAGTGTGGCACGTCTCCAGCGTCGCACTCTCGAACTCATTTGTTTTCCTTAACGAGAGAAGGTTCCAGATTGGGGCAGAACCCTCTTCGCCCCGCCCACGGCCCCCTGAACTCTGCGGATGGGGGGGAGGGGTGCATGGGGAGAGGCGGTCCCAAACGGGTCATTTCCATTAATAGAGACCTCAAACATCGCCTGCTAAAAATACCCAACCGGAGGCACATAAAAGCGCGACCCAGCACCGCGGCCCGCACTTCTCCGAGCAGACGTCCCGGGCAGAGCCAGCCAGCATGACCGAGCGCCGCGTCCCCTTCTCGCTCCTGCGGAGCCCCAGCTGGGACCCCTTCCGCGACTGGTACCCGCACAACCGTCTCTTCGACCAGGCATTCGGGATGCCCCGGCTGCCCGAGGAGTGGTCGCAGTGGTTCGGCACCAGCAGCTGGCCGGGCTACGTGCGCCCCCTGCCCCCCGCCGCGGTCGAGGGCCCCGCAGTGGCCGCGCCCGCCTACAGCCGCGCGCTCAGCCGGCAGCTCAGCAGCGGGGTCTCGGAGATCCGGCACACGGCGGACCGCTGGCGCGTGTCCCTGGACGTCAACCACTTCGCCCCCGAGGAGCTGACGGTCAAGACCAAGGATGGCGTGGTGGAGATCACCGGTGAGCACCCCGTGGCCCTGCAGGGGAGGGGAGGAGGCTAGCGGGGAGGGCGGGGCCCGGGGGTGCGGTTGAAACCCCGGGCCTGGGGAGTTAAAAGTTAGCCCAGCACCGGGAAAAACGGGATCCGTGATTCCCCTGCTCAGGAATCGGGAGTGCAGGTCGCTTCTAAGGTCGCCTTCTGCTCTGTTATCTCAGCGCCTTGGGAGGCGGAGGCCAGGAGTTCAAGACTAGCCTGGGCAATATAGCGAGACCTCCCCCCCTACCAACTACAAGAAAATTAAAAAGCAACCAAAAATGTTTTAAAAGATCATCAGTGAAGAAATGCTTCTTTCCACGGAACTCTCTCCCCACCCGCAGCCCCACCCGCAGATAAGCGGGTCCCCTGGCGTGGTCCCTGTCCCTAGCCGCGCGAGGGGCGTGCGTGCTCCTCCCAGTGCGCCTGCGCGTTGCTCCCTCCGCCCCTCGGCACCCTGCTCCGTTCCTCCCAAAACTCTTACTCGAACTTTCCGGAAGTTTCTGAGAGCCCGGACAGGCCGGCACGCCCCCACCCCCAGTCTCCTCTGTTAATCCCTGCCAGCCTGCAGTCCTGGCTGCCTCCAAGCTGGAGGTGGGGCCTCTGGCCTGGCGGGGCCGAGAGTCGGTCCCCTTTCCCTCATTCTGATTTTCCTGTCCCCCGAAGGCAAGCACGAGGAGCGGCAGGATGAGCACGGATTCATCTCCCGCTGCTTCACCCGGAAATACTCGTGAGTCCTGCCGCCAGGTCGGGGTGGGTGGGTGCCGGGGGCTAGGGAGGAGGGCACAGGGACCCACCCGAAGTGTAATGTAACGTTCACATTCCCTCTCTGCACGTCCAGGCTGCCCCCTGGTGTGGACCCCACCCAGGTCTCCTCCTCCCTGTCCCCTGAGGGCACACTGACCGTGGAGGCCCCCATGCCCAAGCCAGCCACACAGTCCAACGAGATCACCATCCCTGTCACCTTCGAGTCGCGGGCCCAGCTTGGGGGCCCAGAAGCTGCGAAATCTGACCAGTCTGCAGCCAAGTAAAAGCCTTAGCCCGGATGCCCACCCGTGCCGCCGCCACTGGCCATGCCTCCCCCCCCACCTGTGTGTTCTTTTGATACGTTTATTTGTTTTTCTCAAATAAAGTTTGAAGCAACCCACCTGTCACTGGCTCAGACCCTGGTGTTTGTGGAAGGAAGCTTCGGGCACCTGCCATTCCCTGGCTTACACTAGCCACCTTTGCTCAGGGTGTGCTGGGTGCACAGCCCCGTGCTGGGCCATGTGGGTACTCCCGTGTAGGTTGCTAGGCACAGGCTAATTCACATCCATAAAGACAGAGAGGTCCTATTGCCCGGCATTGTGGCTCAGACCTGCAATACCAGCACTTTGGTAAGTTGAGGCAGGAGGATTGCTTGAAGCTGAGAGTTCAAGACCAGCCTGGACAACACAGTGAGACCCTATCTCTTAAAAATAAAAAGCCAGTTGCAGTGGCTCATGCCTGTAATCCCAGCACTTTGGGAGGCTGAGGGGAGCAGGTCATGAGGTCAGGAGTTCGAGACCAGCCTGACCAACATGCTGAAACCCCATCTCTACCAAAAATACAAAAATTAGCCAGGCGTAGTAGCATATGCCTGTAATGTCAGCTACTCAGGAGGCTAAGACAGGAGAATCACTTGAACCTGGGAGGCAGAGGTTGTGGTGAGCCGAGATTGTGCCACTGCACTCCAGCCTGGGTGACAGAGCAAGACTGTCTCAAAAAAAAAAAATAATAAAATAACAGAAATAAAAATTAGCCAGGGGTGTTATTGCACACCTGTAGTCCCAGCTACTCAGGAGACTGAGGCTGGAAGATTGCTTGAGCCCAGGAGTTGAAGCGTGCAGTGAGCTAAGATTGTGCCTTTGCATTCCAGCCTGGGCAACAGAGCAAGATCGTCTCAATAAATAACTAAAAACTCAGAAAGAGTGAGACCTTGTCTTTAAAAGAAAAAAAAAAAAGGTCGTGATTGCAAGGTCATGGTTGCAATTAAAACTGTAAGGTGTGGAAGCGGAGGAAATGGGAAGCACCTGAGGCTTGAGTTTTCACGGTCGGCGAGGCTGGGGCCCAGGTGAAGGGGCACGGGGGTAATTGCACCTCCCCGCAGAGATTACTGCGTCAGAAGCTTGGCTTCGGCTTCGGCGCACCCAAGGGCACCACAGTGGACCTGGTAAGCTTTGAGGTCGTCACTGCCACACCCCCTGAGGCCAGGGCATCCCTGTTGGCAGTCACAAGGGAACTGGCAGGCAGAACTGGGGTGAGAACGGAGCCCGCAGTCTCTGGGTGGGGAGATTGGGTAGCACCCTGGCCGACGCGCTCAGACCTGTGCTGCTGGCTCTGCCAGCGATTCTTGTTGCCTGTGTTTATTTTCAGTTGGCCTCCCTCCCGGTGTAGCCAGGCCTCCATGGGCCCAGTTCCTCTGTTGTCTGCCCTTGCCCTAGCTGCCACCCTCTAACCAGGCCCAGGGAAAGCTGTGGAGGTACACAGCAGATGGGGGTGCCAGGCGTAGTGGCTCATGCCTGTAATCCCAGCACTTGGGGAGGCCAAGGCAGGTGGATCACCTGAGGTCAGGAGTTCGAGAGCAGCCTGGCCAACATGCTGAAACCCTGTCTCTACTAAAAATACAAAAATTAGCCAAGCGAGGTGGTGCACGCCTGTAATCCCAGCTACTCGGGAGGCTGAGGCAGGAGAATCAATTGAACCTGGGAGGCGGAGGTTGCAGTGAGCCCAGATCGCACCATTGCCCTCCAGCCTGGGGGACAAGAGCAGAAACTCTGTCTCAAACAAACAAAAGCAGATGGGGGCTTTGGAGTTTGGTTTTGATGTCCTCAATTTTTTGAGGGACCCAGAGTCTGAGGCTGTAGCAAGACACTCCCATGTTCTTTTCTCAGCTGTGGGAAGTAGAAAAGTTCCTCTTTAAATTTCCTTCTTGTTTAAGAATAAATCATACGCGTGCTAGTAACTCTTTGTGAAGCCCTATCCTGTGTAGCTGTGAGACACGCCATGATTACAGGCACGTAGTACATTCTACATCCTTGTACTTTAACCAAGATGTCTGTGCTGGACGTGCTCACAGGTATGCAGCTGAAGCCCCTTACCTGTTTAAAAAAGCTTTAAATTACTAGCCAATCAGGTTTTAGTTTAGATTGAGAGGTCTGGCTCCAGCCAAGGGAGATCAGACACAGCAGTAAGGACGACCCCAAATGCCTAAGGGATAAATTTATTGTTTTTATTTTTTAAATTTTTTTAGAGATGGGGTTTCACCATGCTGGTCAGGCTGGTCTCAAACTCCTGACCTCAGGTGATCCACCTCAGCCTCCCAAAGTGCTAGGATTATAGGCAAGAGCCACCGTGCCTGGCCTCATAAGGAAGAAATGTGTGTGTTTTCCTTTGTTCGTTGTACTTTTGTGGCATGTTAGCTAGCAAGAGTACCCTTTCTGCAGTCCAGGAAGTAAAAGTTGCATTGCTGGAAGACCCTTTGTCTCAGTGTTAATTTTTCGTTTCAGCACTGAGCATCTGCTTCCAACATCAGCCCCCAGCCTGACTTTCCCAGGTTCCCTAAGAAGGGTGGCACCCTGCAAGGAAGGGCCTGGAGCATGTCCACACCACATCCCATATCACCCCACACCACCCAGCTTCTTTTTTTTTTTGAGACTGGGTCTTGCTCTGATGTCAGGCTGAAGTGCGGTGGTGCAATCTCGGCTCACTGCAACCTCTACCTCCCAGGTTCAAGTGATTCTCCTGCCTCAGCCTCCTGAGTAGCTGGGACAGCAGGTGTGCGCCAACATGCCCGGCTAATTGTTTTTATTTTAGTAGAGTCGGGGTTTCACCATGTTGGCCAGGATGGTCTCCATCTCCTGACCTCGTGATCCCCGGCCTCGGCCTCTGAAAGCCAGCTTTTTTTTCAGAGACAGAGTCTCCCACTGTCACAGGCTAGCTTGCAGTAGTGAGATCTTGGTGCCCCATGCTGAGTGGTGCAGCCTTAAATTACTGGGCTCAAGGCATCTCCAGGAGTGCACCGCATGCCTGGCTAATTTTTTTTTCTTGTAGACATGGAATCTCTCTCTCTGTTGCCCAGGCTGATCTCAAACTCCTGAGCTCAAGCCGTCCTCCTGTATCGGCCTCCCAAACTGCTGGGATTGAAGGAATGAGCCACTGCGCCTGGCCCAGCCTCTTAATGTCTGCCTACTAGTGGGTTCCCTGTCCAGAAACCCATCTCTGGAGCAGGGTGGGGAGTCAGGGCAGGTCCCAGCCCTCGGCCCAGTCCTCTCCAGGCCTGTCCTGCCTTTGCTTTTTTCTTTTTCTTTTCCCTTTTTTTCTTTTGAGATGGAGTCTCACTCTGTCACCCAAGCTGGAGTGCAGTGGTGCGATCTCAGCTTATTGCAACCTCCACCTCCCGGGTTCAGGCAATTCTCCTGCCTCGGCCTCCTGAGTAGCTGGGATTACAGGCGCCTGCCACCACGCCCAGCCAATTTTTGTATTTTTAGTAGAGCCAGGACTTTGTCATGTTGACCAGGCTGGTCTCAAACTCTGAGACAGAATTGCCTGAACCCGAGAGGCAGAGGCTGCAGTGAGCTGAGATCGCACCACGGCACTCCAGCCTGGGCAACAGAGTGAGACCCAGTCTCAAACAAACAAATAAACGAAAAGGCAGGACAGGCTGGCAGAGGCCTGGAACTGCCCCTCCACCACAGGAGGGGTTCTGGGGTTTGCTGACAGCACCGTCTGTAAAATCAGGCAGCCCTGGGCCTTAGCTGCCAGGGAGTGAATTATTTCCGGGTGCCATTATCACTCCTGCTATAGAATCAACTCAGGGTTTGGCAGGCACAGATTTTGACGGCTCCATTCGAAGGGTGGAGAGAGAAGCAAAAGCTGCCCACGGAAAGGTGACAGGGGACCAAAGAGCTGGGTCCAAAGGGCAGGGCAGAGCGTCTTCGTGATGGGGGCGGAGCCACTGGGAGGAGGAGGGACTGGAGGCTCGGGGGAACTGGAGCTCCAGCCCACGGACGGAGTCCCAGAACACCCAAGCCCTATGCCACCCTGGCAGAGCCCAGAGCAGGGCAGGGGTCAGGCTGGCCCCCCCATATACCTCCCTACGGTTCCCACATGCACACACCAGGACCTAGGGGGTTGGGACAGTCCTAGAGTTCAGGGCCTGGCAGGGGAGGGGAGGGAGGAAGCAGGATATTGGAGGGAAGTGGGTGAGGCTGAGCTGGTCTCAGCCAGTCTGGCACTGGCCCTCAAAGCCCAGAATCCAGCCAGGTGCGGTGGCTCATGCCCGTAATCCTAGCACTTTGGAAGGCTGAGGCAGGTGGATCACAAGGTCAGGAGTTCGAGACCAGCATGGTGAAACCCTGTTTCTACTAAAAATACAAAAATTAGCTGAGCGTGGTGGCGGGCACCTGTAATCCCAGCTACTCGGGAGGTCGAGGCAGGAGAATCGCTTGAATCCGGGAGCTGGAGTTTGCAGTGAGCTGAGATCATGCCACTGCACTCCAGCCTAGGCAACAGAGCAAGACTCCATCTCAAAAAAAAAAAAAAAAAAAGCTCAGAATCCCTGATATGGGGGCTCTCACCTCTTGCTGTCCTCCCAGGGAAGCCACCCCCAGGGAATATGAGGGGACCTCTGAGTGGAGCTCCCCTGGGGCCTGGAGGGCATAGCAAGGCATATGGGGGTTGGGGCACAGCATCACAACTATACGTGTCCCTGATCTGGCCAGGCTCACACCTGTAATCCCAGCACTTTGGGAGGCCAAATGGGGCAGATTACCTGAGATCAGGAGTTGGAGACCAGCCTGGCCAACATGGCAAAACCTCCATCTCTACTAAAAATACAAAAATTAGTCAAGTGTGGTGGTGCATTCCTGTAATCCCAGCTACTTGGGAGGCTGAGGCAGGAGAATCACTTGAGTCCAGGAGGTGGAGGTTGCAGTGAGCCGAGATTGCGCCACTGCACTCCAGCCTGAGTGACAGAGCGAGACGTTCTCTCAAAATAAAACAAAAACAAAAAAATCAAATGTTCCTTGATCTATAAATGTCTAGTGCAAACTAGAGAAAGGCACTGCAGGCTGGGCACAAGGACTCACGCCTGTAATCCCAGCGCTTTGCGGGGTCGAGGAGAGAGATTTGCT